TGCACACGCAGCCGGCCTGCACAGAGCCTCCTGTGATTTCCATTTCAGCGACGGCACACGCAGCCGGCCTGCACAGAGCCTCCTGTGATTTCCATTTCAGCGACGGCACGCGCAGCCGGCCTCCTCAGAGCCTCCTGTGTATAAGGCCAGAGCTCCTGAGAAAGCTCCTCGTCTGCCTCTGTGTTTCTTGCTGACGGCTGGATTGGAGGCTGTATCTGAGGCGCAGGCTCTGAGAGCCTGGAAGCGGCAGCTCGGTGATATGCACGCTGCGTTTCTGCTTTTACGGTTTACAGGTAATAGCAGAAGCGGCGTTCACTGCAGCACTTGTGCTGTGCGTGTCTTAAGCACCCATAGCTGCCGTATGAACACAGAGGCACCCAGTGGTTGTTCCCGCCATGCTCGGCATCTGAGAGCTGGGGTGTGATGTCCTCAATGCGTACAGCTTCTCAGACGCAAAAGAAATCCACCTTCTTGCCCCAACGCTCCCACACTGCCTTGGTTGTAGGAAAATCATCATCCAGTGGTCATTCAAGGCTACGAGTAGGATTCAGCTGCTTAAGTGAATATTGGATTACATCTTTGATAAATTGTTTTCCTACCTCTCAAATACACAGCATGCTTTCAATAGAACAACAGTTTGAGCAGATTAGATTCAGTTCATGAAAGGAGTAATAAAAGTTCAGTTCCCTCCCAACGGTGTATTTTTAAAAGATCATTCTGTAACTGCCACTTTGGGGGTTATTTCTGATGATTGAAAATTCCTGAAAGTTGCTTGGAACACCCCAAAGAAGGCTACTCCATGCAGGAACTTCGGGTGCAGGTCAGTCTGATGGCCAGCTGCCTCTGGGCTTTCGCTTTTTTGTGTGAATTCGATTCAGGCTTCTATTTTTCTGAGCTGTGTACTTTTGCTGAAAGCCTTGCAGCTCTGAAGGGCTCTGAGTTTACTTGGCGCTGGAGCCAGTGCTGTTTGAGCTGGGCGTGTATATGTTAACAGACAAGGTTTTGTTTTCAAGCTTGACTGGCTTTTTCAGGTAATGTAGTAAACCAACTTCAGGCTATAAGCTGTGATTTCCATTTCGGCGACGGCACACGCAGCCGGCCTCCTCAGAGCCTCCTGTGATTGCCATTTCGGCGACGGCACACGCAGCCGGCCTCCTCAGAGCCTCCTGTGTATAAGGCCAGAGCTCCTGCGAAAGCTGTGAAATCATGAACTGAGTCCAAGATAAGCGACGGTCAACAGAGCCATTGTACAGTGGCAAGAGTGGGGATGGCCCTCATGGTCTGATCTATCCGCTTCTGGGGATGGCTCAGAGGGGAGGTGATTGGGGTAAATGATTTGAGAAGCCACAGAATATTGACTCTGCCTAGTTCTATAGGTAGGGCATCATGCCCTCACAAGCCAGGTGCTGTCCTGATGAGGCGGGCACCCCTGACCCTGAGAGCCCTTTGGCCACGAGGGCGTCTGCAGCATTGGCAGCTGCCCTTGGCACCTCTGAGCTGGAAGCAGGCTCCTTGAGAATGTCTGGAGAGCTCTACAGGGAAAACAGAGTTTATGTTGCAGTGATACAGCATTTGTACTGACTTGCTGGGGGGAGGGGTGTATATAAAGCTGTAGCACTTCAACCTCTTCAGTATAAAAAACACCACCTCTTCCTTTAAGAACTAATATTTTCTTCAAAATCAAAAAAATAATAGGCGAATCTGTCTCACGGTGCAGAAAGCTGTAGAATCTGTTAAGACCACTGCACTCACTTTTTTTTTCATAAAGTCCTCCAGCCCTGCGATTGACTAAATCTGTCTCACAATCTCACAAAGCCAGGGAATGCCAGCTTTCGCCGGAAGTTCAGTTCAGCCGAGACAGGACAATCCCCGTCACGGAAGCATTTGCATTTACGGTGGGAACAGAAGTGGTAGTTTACCAACACTGAAAAGGTGCCGCTGTTGAGTTCCTACGAGTAAGAATGAAAAAGCAATCTCCCGACGGGCTGCAGCAGGGTCCCTTCTCACCGAGGGCAAAACCGGGGCCTCTGGTTCCATGAGCCTCACCTGCAGCTACAGACAGTTGGCCACACTTCCGTCTTCACTTCCAAAGGCTCGGGTCAAGGGCTCCGATTTAGAAGGTTGAAATCTACCCAAAGGATTTCTTGTTCCCAGCAAAACCGGCATAGGAGGTGGGGCGGGGGGCAGAGTGAGTATTTTGTGGAATGCTTAATGAGTTTGATTTTTTCATGAGTGCCAGTGCTGTTTGCTGCTGTGCCCTGGTTTTTCTAGTTTGGATGGAGAGGAAGGCTAGGCAGAGTGAGGGAGGAGGAGAGGACTGTTTCTGATGAGAACGGATGCACAGATGGGCAAAGGGGAAAACAGGCGCCCGTGCTGCAGATTCTCAGGGGAGCCTGCATGCCTGATCATAGTGAAAGGGCTTTCCTTCACCTCCTTACCTAAGCCAAACTTGCTCCTCTTCTCCTTTTTATTTTTATTTATGAATTTGTTTCTCGAGAGCGCAGTTTTCTTTGTGATTCTCAGGGTTTCTTTTATACTTCTTGGGGTTTGCATTTTCCGGGGCTGGTGCCCCTGGGAGACCTCAGGTTGGGGTGGTGGCCTGGCCACCAGGCTGCCTCTGCCCTCTGCCCTCTGCCCTCTGCCCTGCCCTGGGTGCCCTGGCGGAGCTGCATCCTGGGACCCACCTGCAAGTGCTTGGTGCCGTGCTCAACTCTCACCCATCCCGAGCGAGAGGCCCGGGTCCATCCTTATAGGCCCCCGTCAGGTGGTGACCCTGAGCTCCATGGGCAGGGCATCCTCCAAGGCCACTCGCCACGTGGGAGCCCCAAGGGTGGGACGGCCGTGACCTCCTGCTTGCTGGTCACGGAGCTAGCCGCACTCCAAGGCAGGGTTCCTGGATGCTGAGGCCTGCTCTGGATCCCGGGGGGATGCTGGGGTTCAGGAGGAACGGGCAGGGCTTGATGGGCGAAATCACAGCTGGAAGGGCGAAGGCCCCAAAGGAGAGGAAGGTCTCAGCACAATTAGATTGCAGACTCCAGAGCCCGAGGACGTGAACCTGGCCTGGGACCTGTGCTGAGCAGGGTCTGTGGAATATGACCAGAGGCGTGGCTCTCCTGCAGAGCATATTTTGGACCTACTTGTTGAATAAACATGACATCCGAGGAGTGGGAAGCTGGCCTGAGAATGAGCTGTCCATGTCGTAACCACACATGCATATGGGGGATTTCTGTTAGGTTTCTGTCTTCCACAAAACCTCAGACGCTCCTCAGGAAGTCACCTCAGGGACAAGAGGCCATGGCTGTGGAGGGGGAGTCGGGCTCCTGCAGCGCTACCCCCTTTTAACGGGTGCATATACTGGAGTTCCACGGGAGGTCTCTTTGCAGAAGCCAAGCAATGAAAGCCTCCTCCCCCCGCCTCACTTTACCCTGGGAGATCCAGGACCCGGGGCCAGCAGGGACTTGGTGGCCTCCTGAAACCCCCATGGCTGCATGGCCACACTGAGGGCCTGGCCTGGGTGCTGCACTGTGGGGACCCAGCCTGGACCCTTCTGGCTGCTGCCCTCTCCATGGGCGCAGGCTCCACAGGGCAGAGGGATGGACCACCCACCCAGCCCCATGCCCACCCTCTGGGCCTCGCCAGCACCCAGGACCCTGGAATTCCTGCCCATGTCTGGAGCTGGCAGGGTGCCCCCCACCACAGGGTGCCCCC